AGCTGAAAAGTCGCAAACAAAGGCGAAGCAGCTGTTCAGTGCTCTCCCTGGTTTTAAATGACTCTGTAATTGATGACATTTTGTGGTCTGTCCTGAAAAGTAATTCAGCAAGTTAAATAACACACTAATTGCAAGTCATAATTAATAAAAGACCGAGGCTGAATTTTATTGGTAAGCTGTCATTCTAGTCATCAGTTACAATTAACAATGTTTATATAATGTACAGAATTTACAGCGGAGTTTATTGTATGTTATTTTCTCTTCATCCAAGATCTTCAAATATAACAATAATTAATAGTAGATATTCAAGTATTGGTTTTGGAAGTCGTGACCAGTAGGGTGCAGCAGGTCGGCAGTGAGAATAATTACTCTCCACTGATGATATTGGCTAGTGGTCATTCTATATCATGAATTGGCAAAAGCTGGAATTTATGGGGTAGCCATTGGGCCGGGTCACAGTGGCTCAATGGCCTACGAGCTCACCTTGTAACCACAGGAGTTCCTGGGTTTGAACCCTGGTGGTGGGCAAGTGCTGCTGAAGAGTCGTGAACCAGGACGACGGGAAGAGCTGTCCAGTACTCCAGTGCTCGTTTCCCAATGGTTCTCTAACCGATGTCAGATCATGATGAAATCCTGTAACTAACAGTAGATCGGGTGACACCTTTCTATCTGACCTGAAGCGCAAGCCCATCTATCATTATGAAATCTCTACTTTGTTCCCTTCGGGAAATTTACGACATTTGATTGAATGCCAGCTATAAAAAGGTCAGAAGTACATTTTGTAAACCATGAACACAACCCAGAACACAATTATCTCATGTGTTGTGGGTTAAGGTGCCGTCCATCGAGGATAATGCTTATTTTGCGTGGAGGATTTCATCATGAACTGACATCAGAGAACCACTGGAAAACCTGGAAGTACTTGACAGCTGTTTCCGTTGTCCTAGTTTGGGACTCTTCAGCAGTACTTGCCCACCACCAGGGTTTAAACTCAGGACCTTCTGGTCACAAGGCGAGCTAGTAGACCATTGAGCCACCCACCCGAATCCAGGTGGGTGCGCACTGATGAAGAGTCTCAAACTAGGACGACGGAAACAGCTGTCCAGTATTCCCAGGTTTTCCAGTGGTTCTCTAACTGATGTCAGTTCATCATGAAACCCTCCAACCAATCAAACAAAATCCCTACAAAACCAGTAGTTGAAAATGCTTTTTTGTATGATGTTTAGTAGAAACTTGCGAATAAGCAGCTTGTGAACATTTTAAAAACATTTCAGAGGTAAATAATACGATTAGAGGTCACACTTTACTAGATTTAAACAAACTGAATAAGGAAAATTATATGCAAATATATTGAGATGGAGGTCTTTGGTAGCTCATGTTTTAAGCAGACCAACGATAATTAGAAAAAATCTTCCACCATAGTTTTCAATACCGATATAAATCAGTTTCGAATGGAGCTTTAGATACATTCTATGGAGAAGTTTCAAACTAGAATGAAATCAGATATATAAATCGAAAATCGATTATTATGAATTCAGCCACTTCGTATTCAAGTATTTCTGTTTCCGCCAATAGGATAATGTTTCATCCCTCTTGGGAGGAGATGACAGTGACGATCAATTATTTTACCTGAATTATATATCAGCAGAATGTATTTCCTTCACTCTGATTTCCAGTCTAAACGAGATTTCCAAGAAGAGATAAGACGAAGGGAAGCAGGGTGATAGAGAAGGAGGGAGGGAGGCAGAGACTGAAAAGAGAAGACAATACAACTTAAATCTTCTTTATTACACTTAAAAGTTGCTCCTTTTACTTCTCCTTCTATTTTTTCCCTTAAGGAAAGCTGATTAAATCAGAAAGTGAGTAATCTCAGATGACAAATAATTAATTGAACATTGAATCATGTATGCGTGTATAGCTCCATTATGGATAAGATTTTTACTTTGATAAATCACACGGTGTTATACAGTAATATTTGTTATACAATAATACTTTTCCCTCATTTATGTACATGTGTGGAACTGATTAGATATTTGAATAAAAATCAATATGGGATAATGTACATTCAGAATTAATAATATGAGTGTCATTGATCAATTACAATCAGATGGGAAATAAGACGAGTGTTTTTATAGTAAAAATAAGTAACTTGTTAGAATGTTGTGATGTACGCGAATTGAAATAGAATTTGGAGATTATTTATTATCCTCCCCTGATTTCAATGACTGGTGGTAATAATATCTTCCATATTTCTGGTATTTGCATTGAGTCATTTCTGTTGCTTGTGTTGGGTGTTGATTCACTCGATGAACCAGGCAGGGTTCAGTAATCAATCTCTCTCTATCTCCACCTATATAGATTACTTCTTAGAATGATAACCCTCTCCCACCCTATTGTGTGGGTTTGTGTTAATTCATGCAGTGCAATTGCTGAGCTTTTTTCTAATTTACTTATCTCCACGGGGTTAGCCATTCTAACTTTAGCTAAACTCTTATGCTCCGATAATCTGACTACCCCCGATCTACTAGTTTGACCTATATAGTTGACCTCACTCACAGTCATTGCAGAGTATTTTGTAAATTATATTATTTTGTCCAAAAGGGTCCACCGGGTCCTTTAGCCTACAGAGCTTGTCCCTGAGTGAGTTTGTAGGTTTTGAATGCCACCACTCTAATTCCTGCTTTATTGAGAATCCCACGTAGGGTCTCAGATGTCCCCTCCTTATATGGTATAACAGTGGATGCCTTATATTCTCTCTTATTTATGTTATCATTACCAGCTTCACAATTATTTTTATTTTGTTTCTGGCCTTTTTTGGTCTTCCTAATGAATTTTATAGGGTAGTTATTTGATACCAACGCTTCTTCTATCTGTTTTATTTCATCATTTAGGTCTTTTCTTGTGCTACTTAGTGCTATTGCACGGTTCGTTGGACACTTAACTAAGCCTGCCTTAACAGTTAACGGATGAGGTGAATTAAAGTCTAAATATCCAATATTAGAATGCGCTGGTTTTTATAAACGCTGGTGTGTAGTTTACCTTCTTCTATTCGTTTTATTTTACAATCTAACATGCTACCTAATTCTCCTTGTTCACTTTGCGACTCAAATGTGAATTTTATTTCCTCTACTAGTGACTTTATATGTGTCAAGATGTGCGTGGATAGGTTAAAAGTCAAAAATCAATAAATACTTGCATACGAGAGCATTCAAAGCAGTTTGAGGATGAGACGAGGAACTGACGAAAATGCCATGATAACTTTAAATGAACTTTATACTTTAAACTGTATCTAGAGAACGGTCACAAAAGTTCCGACTACTACTCACGTCAACTGACAATCTTTGCCAGCTGGATCAAAGTGTTATTAACACCTGGCGTCTTATATGCGGTGGAACTTATCACAGATGCACCCAGGTTAACTCAGACAAGAGAGGTAAGTTCGTTTAAGCCAATCAAACTCTAGCGGTTGTTACATAATATACTAGTTGCCAGTACAGCGTTGCATCACGGCTGAGTAACCAAAATTATGAAACCATAATGAAATCAAAATTAAGACTGAAGTGATTTTAATGTAAGCTCGAAGGAAAGCTATAAGTAAGATTCTCTGACCGGGCATGAGGTAGTAACGTCATCAGCTGCATCACTCAAATCCACTCTGAATTGATCTTAGACTGTTGGAAGTAATCTCTGACTGTAGCACTGGTTCACTGGGGGTACAAATCTCTTAGGGGGTAAGAGTTTCTTCAAGATATCAGACTGATAGGAATCGGTTTAAAATAGTAATCATTTTGTGGTCGGATGACCTTGACTGATTGTAAAATTTCGCTGTCTTTTCCTTACCTTGATTCTGGTCCAAACGTCAACCAATCATAATATCTATTTTCCGTAGACCTAGCCGAATCACCAACCAATCAGAACAATCTATTTTGTACTGCCCTTGGCAGATTTTAATGTGGTTAAAAATATGTAAATATGACGAACTATTTTCCTTTACAAAGTTGTATCTTAACAGTCACACATCAGTCTTTTTCTTCTGATATTTACGCGGCTGTGTCAGTATTATTATACCCAGGCTATTTTGGACAGGTTCAAAACACCTACAAGTGCCGACAGGTACGAAATCTAGGTCCACGGCTTCCTGCCGATGACCTTCAAACATCTAGCATTAAATCAGTTATATTGTTCAGGAAATGGAATACTCGGAGTGTTTTGCACTCAGTGGTACAGATATCCACCCTGGAGGGAACACAACTTTCCTTATGATGACAGGTAGTACACTATGCTGATGAGTACTGGAAGGGACGAAATTTATTTGTCAATCAACACCCATGACATCATCAGGATCGTTGTAATATTGTAATGTAGGACCACATAGTCATCGTCTGAAAACCAAGAAGAGTCACAGTCCAACAGTTTTTTCTGAAACACTATTCTTACAAAAAGAATCGAAAAAACGTAATCTTAACGTTTATTTTTGTCAATTAAAACCCAACAAATATGACCTTTGTGACAAGTACACGTGATGGATTTATAGTTGACTAAAACAAAACAAAGAAAAACTATAACAAACCTTAAAATGTCATATTTTTAAAAAAATATCAAACATTCATTTTTCCTAAAAATAATAATAATGATAGCCAATTTTGTAAAAAGCGGGAATCAACGAATTAAAACAAAAAAAATACCAAAATTCATTGTCCAATAAATTATTAAAGCCAGAATTTTGTAGCTGAATTCTGATTGGTTAATTTTCGAGGGGAAAAATTATTCAGTTCAGTTCAGTTAGTTTTCATTCCGATTGATCACAAAATTAGAAAAAAGTGTTTAAATAAGTAATTATTTTGAGGAAAATAAAACATTTTTTACATGAATACTTTTACATTTTACCCCGCAAAAAAAAAACAACATGAAAACTTGAACACTAGCATTAAATAATACACATGTGAGTACGCGGAAATTGAAGTAAAGAGGTATCGTGAGGAGACAAGAATTGATCAGGCATGAATTCGAGTATAGACTGTCATTTAGCCAGTCTGTCTTATCCTACCAGTATGGACAGTAGTTATCCTGATGAGACAGACAGTATGATAAATCATGCAAGAAGTTCCCCGCTGAATACTACAATGAGTAATACAAGTGTAGAAACACTGTCGACCTCAACAAGGACAACGCCACCAATAATGAAATGTAGCCACGATGGCGATGATGATGATGATGACAACGACGATGTGGAAGGAGAGAAGGAAGTGGACAATGGCAGCCTAAATGATACTAATTCACATACAACAATCGATGACGATGAATTAATGAATAGTTATACCGCTTCAATAGGTAACCATGACAACGAGGCAGTGGAATATATAAATGACGACCTTGGATTAAATAATCAATTATTCCCGGTGAAAAAATCAGAAAAACAAGTAACATTTCAAGATGTTGTTGAAATTTCAACAATTTATTCAATTATCAATGAATCTGTAGAATCTGTCTCGTATACTTCTGAGGTGGATGACGCCGTCGAAGAGGAATTTCTGTGTGACAATGAATGTAATGGTCGAAAGGATTATAAAGGGATTAAGTATACAGAAGATCAGTTAGACAGAGTAGAAAGGCATTCTAATGCTGACCAGTGTTCATCAGAAAAGGATTTATTGACTGTAAGTAGCACAGCTGTGTTTTGTATCGTTTTTGCAATTATTATTATTATTAACATCATGTTAGTAAAGTCAACTGCATACGACAGGATGGTTAAAAGTTTAAAATTTCCGCCATGTTCGATTCGGTAAATAGAAACAAAATTCGAGATTTTTAAATATTGGTTTGAAGAGATTTGATTTATTTCAAGTGAGGTTACGTACTGATAAATCACTTAGGGTAACCACTGAAAGCCATTAGGGAGGACATGGTGAGTGCTTTGTCCCAATTCGCAGTTGTTCAGGGGATCCAATTCAAGATCTTCATCTTACTAGTCAGTCAGGCACGTTAAGATACATCCAACGACCTGTGAATTGTAGCTTTTGACAACTCTCGAAATATATAGCTCATTTCCAGCCGATGTCATTGATGAGTATCTGTCCTCACACCAAATTTGCTGGACGTCGGTGATCATAACTTCTCTGTTAAGCTCCAAGACGTCCATCCCTTAGTAGGTCACCGATGAGCAGTAGTTGTTTTATCAGGATATAGGTGAGTATTGCTGATGAGTTCAAAATAGGACTAAAACAGGTATCTAGTGATCCCTGCCTGGTTTTAAATGGTTCTTTAGTTGGTGTGTGAGCTCGTGATATAATTTGAATTTTAAACTTAACGAAAGGTAAACTGAAGGAGTCTCATTATACATCCATATCACCTGATCGGTAGTTAGAGATGGGACAGTCCTTGTTACTGTCTTGACAACTGGTGGAATATCGATGCATAGGTTCCCTTTTAACAATGATAGTAATTTGATGCAATGGTCCACCGAGGGAGAGGGCTCTCGAGTGGTTGCGCCACAGGATGATCCTGCATGCCGGTCTCGTCTGGCAAGAGGCAGGGATGGGTGTGTTTGGTTCTCCTGAAAACCAATACCCAGTCAATGGTTGTATCACTGTGTGAATTAGTGCGTCGGTGGCACAGTGGTTAGGATTCTCGCCAACCATGCACATGGTCCGGAGTTCGATCTCCTGCCGACGCATACCCGATATCAGTGGTCGGCCTGAAAAATTTGGGCTGCCGATATCACATGCTGAAAATTCCTTACTTGGCTGGGCGTGGTGGCGTGCGCCTGTAATCTAGCTACTTGGAGGCCAGGGTGCGGAATTTCGCTGGACAGGGTGCTCAGATTGTGCGTCGGTGGCACAGCAGTTAGCGTGCTCGCCAACCATGCACATGGTCCGGGGTTCGATCCCCAGCCGACGCACTCCTTTACCTCACTTATCCAGTAATAAGACTGGTAAAGAGGAAAGGTTGGGCATGAGGCTAGCAACTCCATCCTGTAAAAATAAACACTGCTACGGAAACTTCTAGCCTGTAGCTTGAAGCCCTATGTTCCACTGGGGACGTGAAGGAAATAAATAAATGATAGTAAGTATCAGGCTAAAAAATAAGTCACTATTCCTAACAGGCAATTAAATAAAAGACTCAACACCTTATAGAAACCAAGTAATAATAGAAAGCATGCGTTTCTTCCTCTCACAGAACTCTTCTAAACTACGTACTGATGACCGAATTAGTTTTTGAAATCTGCTCGTTCCTTATCAACTTGGAAAACGAAATTCAACAAGTTTACGAATCTTAATTTTTGATCATTTCGCGGTATATGAAATCTTTAAAACAAAAGGGTTGAGTGGGAAGAAATGTTTACTTTTCAATTACATTTTCTTCTCTGACTCTACTCTGATATATATAGCGTTTTTATCACAATACACAACAGTTCACCAGTCAAGTGGAGATTTGTGTTCTGAAGAAATTTGTACAGCCACTTTCCTTACCTTGGCCATGGCTACATGAATTTTTAAACCAGACTACTTTGCCTCCCGCTCCCTCTGAACCTTTAAAAATTATAATTGTCCAAGTCGTTTAATGGGCGTTGGTGGCACAGCGGTAGAATGCTAGTGGACCACGCGTGTGGTCCGGGTTTCAATCCCAGGCCGACGCGCTCCTTTACCTCGCTAAGCCAGTAATAAGACTGGTAAAGAGGGAAGGTTGGGCATGGGGCTAGCAACCCTATCCTGCAAAAATCAACACCACTTCTACCGAAGCTTCAGGCATCTAGCTTGAAGCCATATGTTCCACTGGGAAAGTGAAGGAATAAAAAAATAATTTTATTATTTTTCTGACTACTTCATCTTTAATTACATGTTATCATTGTTTAACTCGTTTTATTTTCTTTAGCATTTTTTTGCGTAATCAACTTGGGTGCACATTTATTCCCTAATTACTCTTCATTTTTCCAAAATTATGCATTATGCAATCCACGTGTTGCAACCGTTTCTACCTTTTAATTGTGTGTATTAATTTTCTTCGTTAATTATCACCCGTCGCCTTGACATGTTGACACTGACTAATTATTGTTAACAAACAAACATATCAGTGCCACTTGATTGG